AAGTTTAAACAGATAGATATTAAGAATAATATTGTAAAATATCATTAGGTAAAATGGCCAAAAAAAACCTACAAACTTGTAATATTATCTTCAGATAGAATTGGTGTCTTGGTGAGAATAATCACACGGTACACCCCACAGCGATACGGTTTAAGAATTCATACAATCCAAATGGTCAATTTTTTGTGAAAAAAAATGATAAAGGAAGCGTCGTGCGTCGACCAATTCCGGAACTGCGCATCGGAAGTGTATGGCATGGAGCTTAATTACGATAAGACTTAAGGCCTTAACTCGAAATACGTGATGTCTGATGATAGTTCGGTTATTTCTGTTTGCTTGTTTTTTTTTCAAAATCCCTTTCTCCATAAATCTACTGACACATTTAAGCTAATGTTTGTGAAGTAGTCAGCGAGAAATATTAAAACAAAAAAATTGCAAGTGTAAAGAATAAATTTCATCGAAATTCCAGATGAAAAATGTTAATATTGATCTAAGATGTTATAAATTATATACTAGTCGACGAGAGGATTTGTTTATAATAAAAAATGAGGCTATCCACATTATAATCGTTTTAACGTTGGAGACTTTGAATAATTTAACTAGGTCGATGACAAAAGATGTTGTTTTTGTTTTCAAATATTTGCTTATTTTGGGCATTGGTGTATGATTGTAACTGTTTGAACAAGCATACAAACCAATAAATCAAAACAAGTATTCTTCTTATTTTAAATAAATAATACAACTTAAAACGTGTTTTCAATACGTTTTCCCGTTTAAGAAAGTGAATATAAATATTTTTGAAAAGTAATGAATAATGATAAAGGTTTTAAATTTTTAATGTAAAAATAATTATAGTTATATTATTTACGACCGGATGTAGATAATTTTAGGTGTTCTAAGACCAATTGTAGGGATATGGATAAAAATAAAATACAATACAGTACAAAAAATATATGCATTCATGATAATCGTATAGTTTTTTTAATATTATATAAATAATAATATATTATTATAAATATATTTACAATTTTCTCATTTCTGTAAATTCTACCCAAAGGTATACAACACATTTGTGTCTATATCGAATATGTTTAACATAATAAAACTCCAAGGTCTTTTATATACTAACGCATTTAATAGTACGGAAAATCTGAGTACATCTACCATCAAGGAGCTTTTTTATGTGTATTATTATGACTTATATGTTTTTTCATACCGATACGAATTTAAGGTAAATAAAACGCAAAAAAAAATATATTACTAACCGTGTGCTGATTACACATTTATAACATACAACGAAAATTCAGAGCATAAAATAAAACCCTACATTATATGGTTTCGAAACCCAAATTTGGGCCTCAAAGAGCAATCCAGTGATCACAGATAAAAATACAAATATCAATAAGAGCATTGTACCTACTGACAATTATGTGCTTAAAAATGAATTTTTAGTTTAAGGGTGTATTCACTTTTTGTTATCTCTGGTGAAACCAGTTGACATTGACTATTTAATAAAAAATTTCAATTAAACAATTTTTAGTCGTTAGATAAAACCACTCTTCTATGTAGGAATCTATAATGTAAGAGTGTCTAAAAAATTAGATGGTTCATTTATGGTTATATTTCAACGAAAAACAAGTGAATGCTCTCAGGTTTTTAGTTGTACATTCACTGATTACATACTTAACATACTACAATATATTTAAATGACAATTTCACTTAAGGCTTACACATTAAAGGACTTGCTTCCACGAGGAATTGAACAAAAGTAAAAAAAGAAAGCATAGTTTAAACATTATGTTATCTTTATAAATTGGTCACAAATATAAAATAGGTTCTCTTTATATAAATGTACTGTTATAATAACCCATATATCGTTGTTAACAATTAATGACATATTTTCATTGTCTATTTACTCACTTAATATGAAATAAGTTTGATCGTAGATTTTTTTTTTTTGAGATAATTGTATATGTTATAGTTCTATTCTAGATAATATACCTTCGGTCTAATTTTCCCGACCTAAATCCCTAAAACTTTGCTTCAAAAAGTGAAATAAAGAAAAAATTCTATCTTTTCTTTTGGAAACTGTTTAAATTCCACCCAAATTTGAAATTAATTTGACTTGTTAGTTGTTAAATTTTAAAATTGCGCCAAACAAGTTTTAATAACATTCAGCCTTTTTCGCAGGGGGAGGGAGGGTTGTTGAAATTTCGGGGTTTTCCGTGTGTAATTTTATTGGTAAGACTTTTTATACTAAAAATGCTAAGGTTATAACAAATCGAAAATATTTTTGAAAAGCATACAATTTCGGCACTTGTGCACACATGAGAATGTTTTAGTCATTTTTTTTTTTTTTGCCATCCTTCAATGTTTATACATTTTAAGCAGAAAAATACGTCGATCGAACGACAAAAACAATATTAAAAAAAAATTGTCGATGTTCGAATTATACATTTTTTTTTTATGCACATCTTAGTGTTATTTTTTACGTCGAAAATACGAAGGTCACATAGTAAATAGTGAAAACTTGAAAATGTTATCTAATCGGATACACTATATACGATTTGCGCACATAAATATTTTATTCATTTGCAACTACTGCCTTTAATAGTCCGTAAAACAAATAGTAGCCTAAGCTTAAGTATGGCTATCGACGGATATTCTCAAAGGAAATATCCATTTTAATTTGGGTTGGGATTCGAGTTGCACCGAGCCGACTGAATGTGATAAATATGAAAATGTGATAAAACATGGAAATGCTCTTTCGTAGTGGCAGATTCGGCTAAAAATGCTTTTTTAGTATAATATCCTTCATTTAAAAAGTTAGCAATATATATTTTACCATTTAAATTACCTAAGTTTATATAAAAATAATTAGTTTTGGAGGGGGTAAAAACAACAAAAACAAAATGGTTAAAAATTTAAATCACATTGTATAAAAACAATACCTATACAATTGTTCGCGGTAATATGATCATCCTGTATTTAATTAATAAAAAAAAATATATATATATATATAAAATTTTAAATCGCTTTGTAATTATCACGTAATATATATTATATTTTGATAATTGAGCGCTGACTTATATTATACTAAATTAACTTTTAAACAAAGCATATTTGTTTTGAAAAATAGTGGGATTAGTTAATCTTTTTTCTTTATTTGTAGTTTTAGGAATTAAAATTATACTTAAAGTAGATGTTACCAAGGTATACTATATTGTGTAAATCTATTTGATCTATGAAAATTGCTTTTATATTTATTCGAACACAAAAATAACATGCAGAGACAAAAAATACTGTGTAATTTTTTTGAAAAAAACAATTCGCATAAAGTTATAAAAACTAATAGTACCGACCTATAATGTGGAATATTTTCGCATATGAAACATTTGTACAAATATGAACAGTTACAACGACACCACCAGCAGAAAACACAATAACAATTTCGTTTCAACAGCAAATGAATAGATTTTCAATTGAAACGCTCGATAAAATATCTGTTTATATTTTACATTGCCAATTGAGAACAATTTAAAAAACAACCGGCTAGGTTAGGTTGATGCAATGGTTGAAATTATTTTTATACTTGCTGAAATTCAAAAAAGAACATACTGTGCAAAGGCCTTTTACGATATTCATATTTATATATATATATATATATATATATATATAAATATATATTATATATATATATATATAGAAAGTTTTATTACTGAAGATAGTACAAAAATACCTATTGACACATTTCCTAGCGTAGGTATAATACATTGTATAACTGTTTATATACAGGCACATTTTAAAGCGGTGAACGTCGTGTTGGTAAATTGTTTAATCGGCTCATAATCGGTTTTGAAAACTATTATTGTGAAATTCAAATACAAATTGGGTTCAAAACCCTGTTTGAAAACATAGGTTAGATGCATCATCGAAGGCGATTTTTCCCATACAAATCCATAGGTGTAATTAAAAGAGGGAGAGCCCATCTCTAGAAGACCCTCCCTAGTAGTTCAAAGGCTACATAAAAAAATGTAACGTATTTTCTTCTTTGTAAGTCACACAAAATGGTTATGATACAAATAGATATTTTGAAGTGAAAATAATACATTGACAATCTTGATTGATAGTGTATTGGGAACAGCATGCTTACTTATTAGACCTTGAAGAAAATACTCTTCAGTCAGAATTTATTGTAGCCAAAAACTGTTGTAAAAATTATAAGTTTCACTCCAGTGAATAGGTTTTGACCCATCTTATGAGGGTTGAAGTGACCTGTTTGTTAGACATTTTAGGCCAACTCAGAATGGTTAGGTATCAATTATGTAAAAATATTTAACTAAAATCGGCCACTTTTCTAGATTAATGTAGGAATCGACTAATGATATTTCATTTAAAATTGTGTTTAAGTCCTATTTTATTTGCTCAAATTTGTCTTTTTGAAGTAATCAAAACCTAACCTAAGAAAAGATTGCCTAGTATATTAAGAGATCTAAATGATATGCATGATATCAAAATATCACCGCAGTCGTTTTCAGTTACATTATATTACGAACAAATATAAAAATATTACTTTTATTAAAATACTTCGCAAATATGTATGTTTCTATAAAAACAAAACGAATGTAAACAGTTTTTACATTTCGAACAATGTTCACATTTGTTATGTTTTATATGGAATGTATCACTTACGATGAGGCTAGAGGAATGAATTGTAAATAACATAACACAACTAACACTCGTGATTGGGAACATTCTTAAACATTAACATTCGTTAGCATTTGATGTTCGTTAAGAGACGAAATGATCTGGAGTGTAATATTTGGCATATCAAGATTGTAGTTTGGCCATAAAAGAAAAGTTAACAAAACCAAGATGCAAAAATCAAAAAATGTACAATTTAACCTGGAATATATTTATATTGTACATAACAGAAGAATTAAATGAAATAAATTAAAAACAACATCAATTAGATATATTTTATAGTTTATTGTGTCTGATAAACTTTAGAAATGCAAACAAATTAAACACAAATTATTATAATTTTCAAATCGATTCAATTTTCACGTACTACGTAATTTACAAACCATTTGACGACCTGTTCTATTTTGTCTTGAACTCTCGGATCTATGTATGCCTTTTGCAGTTCTTCTTTTTTAAGAATCAGGTCTGGTCGGCCGATAGCCATAGCTCTTGTTGCATTGAGTAATGCACTTCTTCCATCGTAATCTTTGGAACTTGATAAAAGTGCTATTGCATCGTTAACCTCATAAAGATAGTCTGGGTGCAAGATGTTATTGGAAGCTACATACAATTATGAAAACTGTTGTGATAATTTTTAATTTAGTGGTAAACTGTATCATAAAATTAAAATTGCTAGGATCAGGGCACTATTAAAGATTTCAGGGTATCGTATAAGTTATTTCATGAACAAATGGGAATTAAACAATAAATTATAGGTTTGCGGGTATATTGTAGGTTTAGTGGTGTCTACACAATGGAAATCGGGTCAATTTAATTAAACTTCTTTTGCTAACTTTGTTAACTATACAATACTAAACCAAAAATAATGTTTAAGATACTCACAAAAACAACAGTTCAAACCAGCTGCGACTAGTTGTCTTTTAAGGTTTTCTAAAAGTTCCTTAGCGTCTAATGAAATCTGAAAGACATGCAAACATGGTATTAGTCCACTATTCGTAGTATCATAGAGTTCTTGACGACTGTCCATAAATACCAGCTGTATTAAAGTATAACAGTTTTGCAGCTTCAACAACCATAGGTCATAGAAAATGTTTTATGGACTTTTAGAAGCTCTGGGAATTACTGATTGCCCAGTATGCCCAAGAGGAAATTATGTACTAGTATTACGGGCAAAAGATAAATTATAACTATTATCAAATCATTTTGAAAATATTTATATTTCTATAAAAACAAAACAAGTATAAATAGTTTTACACATTCTTACAATGTTCATATTTATTGTATTATATATGGAACGTATCACTTACGATGAGACTAAAGAAACAAACTGCAAACAACACGGCACAACGAATACTCGTGTTTGATTTCATCGTAAATGGCTATAACAAAAGTAAACCAATAATATAATCTTTTTCGACGGCAACATAATATCAATGGTGGTGTGAAATCATAAGTCTTAGGGGCTCTGCTCGTGGCTATTTATTTAAGGGCCGAAATAAAGGTAATTTATGATATTTACGTCGCCGCCCGATATTTTATTATGTGTAAGGTTAGATTAGTCGTAAACGTTTATTAGTGTGAGTGCGAAATACTAATAAAGTTTATGCGTTCAAAATTAAGTTTCAAATGTTGAATGCGCTCTTAAAAATCCTAAAAAAAACAAAGAAAACTTGTTCTAAAGAAATACCAGTTTTTTATTTATACAGGGCGATTCGTCTGATGTAAAACACTCATTTTCTCTGATAAGAACCGTATGTTTATCATTATTTCAAAATATTTTATAGTGTAATATGATTATTTTGAAAATAATATTTTTCCTTAACGTGTAGATACATATATTACTATATTTCTCAATACGTTGAAGATTTTTATCTTTTTTCCTTATAAGTGTCTTACATCAGATGGATCGCCTGTATATAACCGTGTATATACATATTTATATATGTTCACATTAGTTGTAAAGGTTCTATAATGACAATGTCAAAATAAATAAAACCATACTATCGACGAAAAATAATTAAAATATTACTTACTTTGTATTCGTTTAATAAACTTTATGGGTTAGGTTATGTATGAGAAGCTCGAAAAAAAAACGAATATAGTTTATCCTCGGCTTGACTTTTTGTGGTTAGTTTTGCGACTACTCCAATTGACAAATTTTCTTAAATTGCGATAGCTTAAATTACGGTTTAAAAAACAGTTTTTATTATAACACACAAAATGGCGTTGGTGCAGTAAATTAAAAAGTCGGTAAATAGTGTTCATATAGTAGTGCTCTTATTGATTTTGCGAGAAAAAAATATGTTGCAAAAAAAGTAAAAAATTGTCACTAGTAACATAATAATTTGTTATTAATCGTTTCGAATAATGATACTCATAGGTATATGTTGGCAAATAAAAAAATGGTATTTATTTTTAAATTTATAAGAAATTTTGTTTTACCAAGTTTTTGGCCGAAAATTTCCACGCAACGATAAAATAAGATTTAAAACAGTACCGCAGCTAGAATATTTTAATTTGCATTACTAATTGAGACGCTTATTAGGATGCTATTTGGGTACAATAAATGGTATTCATTTTTTTTAATTTTAAAAATAATTTAAAATAGAACTCGTATCTCATTAAACATGGTCTTACGAAAAAACTAATTTCAGATTTAAAATCAGGAGAAAAAATCTTGTTGAATCGATATGTATCGTGATTTTTTGGTAACTGGCCACACTTGAGTCCACCGAGTGGCCACTGATTGACTGGCATTTGACCAACGCGTCCAATTGACCTAACGTAGACCAATTGCGTTGGTGCAGTAAATTAAAAAGTCGGTAAATAGTGTTCATATAGTAGTGCTCTTATTGATTTTGCGAGAAAAAAATATGTTGCAAAAAAAGTAAAAAATTGTCACTAGTAACATAATAATTTGTTATTAATCGTTTCGAATAATGATACGCGTAAGTATATGTTGGCAAATTAAAAAATGGTATTTATTTTTAACCCTTTCATTACAGAATTAATTTTTTTGAAAAAAAAAAATTTCCGTGTTCATATCTGGAACTTTTTGTGTACACAGTAAATCACAAAAGAGAAAATAAAGTCAGGTCCATTGCAATAATCTTGTTGAATAGATATGTAACGTGATTTTTCGGTATCTAGCAACACTTGCATCCATCGAGTGGCCACTGATTGGCCGGAATTTGACCATACCAACATATGGCATGTGACACATCATTTTAGGTTAGAATTTTATTCTCAATTAAATGGTGTCCTTAGAATTATTTAATATGTTGGTTTAAGTCACATGCCGACCGTTTGGACGTATGTGTGGCCAGATATCAAAAAATCATGTTACATATCAAATAAACAAGTTTTTTTCTCCTCATTTCAAATTTGAAATTATTTTTTTTTGTAAGACCATTTTTTAAAGATATACAAGCTCTATTTTAAATATTTAAAAAAAAAAATGAATACCATTTATTGTAACCGAAAATCATTCTGAACGTCTCATTTGGAGCTCGGTAGAACTTTGCTTTATACCCTGTAAGTACATTATCTCTAATCTTAATGATAATGACGTCTGCCCTATGATAGAAAACGTGACGGACAAGTTTTCAGAATTACCCACAGCTATAAGACATATCCATGTCAAAAAAAAGTCTTAATTTTTTTAAAAAAATGTATAATTGTAGTACTTATACTGTATACATATATTAGACAGTGCACGAACGAAATACACGATCAAAATAATTAGCTAATCAAACAAAACTACATTAATCGTATGTGACATGCCCTAATTTAATAACAGTTAAAAATATAACCCAACGCTTAAAATAATCGATCAATAACTATTTTTTCAACTTGGTCCGCAGTATAGTGTGCGTGGTCTGAAAATACAAAATATTAAACGTTTTTTAAACAAACGAATCAACTTAATAGCAAATAAGATGAAAATATTATTGTGTTAATATTTTCATTTCAAATCATTAAAATAGTGAAGAATAAATGAAGGTATATTAAATTATATATTATCAGTAAAGGTAATAAAATGTTTAAAAAAAACTGAACATGTATCTCACATGTTTTTATTTGTGTTTTTGTATACCAACAAAAAAAGGTCACAAGTTTTAAACTTTTTTTTCTAGTCCGTGACTTATGTTTTTAAGTTAAAAAAAATTGAAATAATTAACAGTTTTAAAAATGATACACTTGATTATTCAAATGTCTCTTCAGTGGTTATGAATATTTTACACAACACATTTATCAAATATTATATTCTAATGTTAATTACCTGATAACGCCAAATTATGTTCTTCAACAGTAGGGAAATCGTTGGTAATATTAAAGTGTGACTTTATATCTTTAATTATATGGTATAATTCTTCATAGCGTACAGCGTCCCCCGAAGGTATTGTGCGTGCACAAAATATGTGTACTACCAATTCCTATTGTTTTCAGAACAAGAACAACACATTCAAATTATTATTCAATTTTACAGATAAAACTGGTAGCTCATTTGCAAAGCTACCGGACATATACGCCTTGCTGTTTGTTTCATCTTTATAACATCGGTTCGATGTGGTGGTGGCAGGGGGAGGGTGTAAAAAGTCATTCCCTAAATCAATTACTATGAAAATCACAACATTTTTACCGGTGGGTAGCACAAACACCACACTACTATTTTATTTGTAATATAGTATCATAGTTTTTTATTTACCATACAATCTTCTATTGTCCAACCGTTTTCCAAACTTTCGGAGCCTACAAAATCTTCGACGGCAGTTCTAATTTCTTCAAATGAATATTTATGGCGTATAATATCATAATATGCTGAAATTCCAAAATATTATAATTATTTTTTTTTTCAATAACCTTTAAAGAACACAGGAGGCTATATTGTGAATTTGCCTTTCAAGTTGTTCATGCCTTATTCATTATTCTATTATCATATTTACTCATTGTACATAAAAATTTGTATAGACTGTAAATTTTCAAATGAACGCTAAATTTATAAAAAAAAAACTTTTAAAGAAATTGAAAATAACAATTTGTAACCCTTGTAAATGATTTTTATTTCAAATTATTGTAATTCAAGAATAATGATGTAATATGAAATTCTACATTAAAACATTAATAAGACTTAAACACCATAAAAAAAAACTTTTAGTATATAAAAAATTTAACAATCTACAGTTTTACAAATGATACGTTTGAATATTTAAAATAGGTCTCTTTGATCGTTTTTGAATATTTTATTCAACATATTTATTGAGTATAAATTCTACTGAATATTACCTTTTGATTCCAACAGCAATTCTTCCTTACGAGGGAATACTACGGATAAGTTTAATTGAGCAATTACTTTTGTTAATACATCTTCTAATCCTCCATAGCCTGTGCCTTCTTGGCCAACATTTTCCCAGATTATGTTACTTATTATTTCCTATTGTTTTCAAAATAAGAATGTATATTAATATAATTGACCTATAAAACTAAGTCTCCATTAGCGAAATAAAAACGCCAAGCTGACAGTCATATTTTGTGGATTATTATTATTATTATTAAGAACTGTTAATAAGTAAACAGTAAAAAGACTCTTTGATACGAAAATGGAGGCGATAAAATCTTGGTGTTTTCTATTAATCATAAATGTTTATTGTTCAATATACTTACACGTTGTTCTGGAGTAGGCTGTGCACCCTGACATTGCAACAAATACAATGCCAAGCCGAAAAACATTATAATAGTTTTCGAATACATTTTTATTTTTCAAATAATAGGTAACCTACTGGAGTACTTATTTTAAGAAAAAATGCTTGAAGAATGAAAACAGTTCCAAGTTTTGCAACACAAAAGAGAAAACGTATAGTGTATACTAATGACTAACTGTTAAACACGTAGTCGTTTTCTGTAGGTATTCTGTTAACGGGATTTATGCAATATATTATATTTTGTTTTTGCGAATAGTCGAATGATAGAGAATTTGAAAACAAAATATTATGACATCTGTGTATACAAATCCTAGAACTGTCTATTTGATTCGACCGTATTGTCGGCTTACGATTCATTACTAGTACAACCTTCGATTTTCCAACCTCTTAGAAAAAGCTTTCACACAAACACACACATAAAAAACCCAATTCGAGCGAAATGATGTTGTAAGTTGAAAATCATTTAAAAACAGTGGACTTAAAAAAAATACGGGTTGTTATTTTGTAAAAAAAAAAGAAACCCAAATTAGCAACACATAAAGATTTCAAATCATATTACAAAATATTAGATTCCCGAAAAATATACCTAAATACAAGTGGAACACCTAAATCTAATAGATATTATAAATTATACTATTTAACCTTTTAATGATGACATAAAATTACAGCCCACCTCATATAAGTGGGGATTCTGTGAATTAGGATAATTTATTAATGCGTGGTCGCATTAATAAATTATCTTGTCGATATCTATAAGTGTGTTAGGCTTGGCGTCATCAATTTATTTTTGTACTGTAGTTAAGGTAAATTTTCCTCGTGGCTTATTATCAAATTCAGTTACTCCTGGCTGGCTATTTTTATCTATAAGTAATACCTCTTTATGAAAGTTGGCGAGCGGCTAAATACATTACATTTTTATTTTTAAGACACTATGAATTATACTACTATTATAGAAATAACGTGTCTCGAATTATTACTAGTATATTATTCACTAGGTTTTAGAGTATTTTTTTTTCAACGAATCAAGCTTCTAGAAAGTAAAAAAGCATTTATGAAAAGATAATAGTATATTTAAAATACATGATTAAATTTTTTTAATGGCTGCTGTTATTGCGTCTTCAGCATAAAACTTAAAAAATACAAATATATATATATTGCTTGTTCAACATAGTACGTTCATAATATACGTATATTATTTGAAGCTGTGAATCATAAATAAACAGTAGTTGCTTGGCCGGTTGATAAACACAAAATATGTTCCTATTACCTGTTTACACAACCGTCTTATAACAAAATAATATTTTTTAGCTTTTTGTATACTAAGCATTTTTTTGATCAAGGGAGGGCTATGAGAACGAAACAAGGGCATATTTATATTTTTCAAGACATGCTTTATTAAAATGTACCTAAAACTTTTATAGAAACACTTTTTTATTCATAAATTACACTTTAAATTGTACATAGACTGTGTCGTATGTTTACTAACTTAGAAGCCCAAAATTAAAATAAAAAAAAAAAAAAAATTGAAAGAATATATTCTATATATTTGTATTATTCTAGTATACCGGGTGATTCTTTTAACGACCTACACTAGTTTACCCTTAAAATGATTGCAATTTTGTATTGTTCTTTATGGAAACATTCTTATTTATGGTTTAGTAAAATAATTTAACAATATTAAAATTATTTCCAACGTTATTTAAGTTTAAAATTTAGGATGGGAGGTGAGGTGCAGTAGTGCGGTTAGGAAATGCGCGCAGATAAAAATTAACCCATCTCTCCACCCTTCCTAGTAGTATTATATTTCTTAATCAATGTTTTAAAATATAATTGCTATAAAAAACACTAAGAACTAGTTAATAATATGTTTAAAAAGTTTCTGAATATTTGACTAAAATTATTCGAATATCTGTTTGTTGTTGAAATAATTTAATTTTAAATTGTTCGAAAAATTTTTATCTGAACAAAACATTATTCGAATTATCGAATGAAGTTATCCGAATCAAATATCCAATGAATATTGTGTTCTTTAAATAATTATTTCATTTTTATTTTTTAAGTTAAATTCGGGATTTTTTAAAAAAAAGTTAGCACTGTACAAGTAGTGTTAAATTTTTACCTTAACAACGGAACAATAACAGTACTTACATCTTTAAATTTCCATCTCAATATTTTCTAAAAAGCACAAAGCTACTCAAAACGCTTAGTATTATAAAATATCTGTGGGTTAATATTTTGGTATTTATTTGGCCTAATTTTTAAAAAAATCGGTATAATTACACTATTATGTAGATTGTTCCAAGCGGTTGTAGTAAATAAGTAATTAGGTAAAAATGTCTGTGGTGGTATTAAATTAATTTATTAGAAGGCTCTCCCTCATCCCCCATGAATTTTTTCCTTATGTATCAATATATCATTATCAAGCTTTGGACTTGTGTGCTGTTGTTTTCGACGTTCAAAATAAGAATAATTTACTGAAAATATGCGTTTAAGTGAAGTATTAAAATTAATCTTACTGCGCCATTTTTCTTGGCTTCCATTTTCATAATGACATACACAATATAGTATTATGTAGGCCAATTAAACCTTCACGTAATATACTTTATATATTTTTTTTAAATAAAGCCCAAAAGGGCTTGTCTACTCATTTATGTTTATCTTTTTGAATTAAAATTAATTTTTCATTCATATATTATATCCTTGGTTATTTTAATTCAATACTCCATATAAAAACGATGAACGAGCAAATTTAAAGAACACAAACTTATAAGTGTATGTGTTGTTTTTTATGGAATATGCATGCAACACGGACTCTTTAGCTGTTGTGAATTATCGTTATGTTTATCATTTATAGTTCTTTTCGTATATGTGTCCAGGTGCATAATAGTTGTGTTTTAACCGTTGAACCGATGATCTTTGTAGCTTAAGCCAACAAAAGTTGCAAAAAACGCTTTATATCAAGAATTAAAAAGGTATCCAACGTATAAAATATGGCGCTTTTCACTTTTCAAAAAGTAGTTATTTTTTATGAAAGAATAATAAAATTGTTTGTAACTCATATAAGTCATACAAAATTGCAAATCATTATTAATCATTATTATTATTTACAATATTAAAACGCTAAACTGTATTTAATTATTTATTTATTATCGTTACAAACTATTTAGTATGTTTTTAAAAGCAAACCGCATTAATCTTTTTTGTGTTCGAGTTGTAAATTAAGAAAAATATATTATGGTAGTTAATACATTTTGATAATACATCTGTTGAGCTTGAACAGTTGTATTCGAAAAAAGCTGTCAATGTAATGTGTTTAAATTTTGTATTTTTAATGTCATGCAATGTAGGACGCAGTAAAATCCGTGTAAAAGTTTTGCTACCTATTTGACAAAATAACTCTAGGGTTGATAATTGGCACATCAAGATTGTAATTTGCCAATAAAACTACTTATAAAATAAAATAATAAAATCCAAGACGCAACAGTACAAAATGAACAGTTTGGCGTGGAATATCGTATACATGACAAAATAATAGAAAGCAATACATAAAAAACAACAATTCAGTATATTATTATATAATTTATTGTGTCAAATAAATATTAAAAATGCAAGCAAATGAAAAACAATTTATTTTACATTTTTTTAAAATAAACTCATTTTTCACGTGCTACGTAATTTGCAAACCATTTGACGACGTTATCTATTTTATCTAGAAATGCCGGATCTGCATTTGTATTTAGCAGTTGTATTTCATCTCGCATGAGATCTGGTCTATTGATAACCATAGCTTTTGTTGCATTGGTTAGTGCTTTGCATCCACCGTGAATATTGTTAATTGCAAAAAGTGATAATGCTTGGTCAACCTCATATAGATAGTCTTTGTGCAAGATATCTGTGGAAGCTACACACAATTATGAAAACTGTTGTAATACATTATGATTTATAAGTAAATTGTATCATAAAATGTACATCGCTAAAAACAGGGCCCTATTTAAAATGTCTGGGTATAGATGATATTTTCATGATATGCAATAAACGTGCATGAAATATGCCTCTTAACTTCCTCATTTCGTCAAGTTCAGTCACGTAAGTTTATCAAACTTAAATAGATCAGGAAAAACCCCTGTATTTCATTAATTGACGTACATTTAGAACATAATAGAATCAAATAGCCCTGGCAGTCCTTTGTAAGGAAAAATCTACCAATTTATAGATAATAATAAGTTATAGGTCTTAGATATTACAACCAATCTCAAAAAAATAATTATTGAATATATTTAAGATTATGCATTTGTGTTTTGGGATACGTGTATGCAATAAGTAATAAATTAAGCATAACCATCTTGTGCGCGAATATTATAGATATGATTAATATGTAATAATTGAAGGTTGCTTGTTACAAGATCAATTTTACTTATGACCTAGATTCTAATATATATGTATAAGCGTTAGTATTTAGGTGTCGGGTACCCACTGTTACGTAAACTGTATAACTATAACGTTGTACAGGATGATCCACTTATCGCGAACCACTCAATATCTCATGGGGTTTAATAAGAAATTACATTTTTTTTTCATATTGTTCTTAAACAATGTGATTTTGCACAATTTTTTTGTTTTTACCCCCCTCTCAACTTAGTTATTTTGATAGCAACTTATGAAACTTAATTGGTAACGTATATATTTTATAAACTTTTTAAATTGAGAATAATGTACTAACAATTTTTACTATTCGATAAAATAGTTATCCGAAACTGGTCATTGACCAGTCAAACTTTTTAATACATTATTCTCAATTTAAAAAGTTTATATGATATTACGTTACCATTTAAGTTTCAAAAGTTGCTGTCAAAAAAACTAAGTTGGGAGGGGTGTAAAAACTAAAACAAATTTGTGCAAAATCACATTGTTTAAAAACAATATGAAAAAAAAAATGTTTATTCCTCATTAAACCCTATGAGATACCGAGTGATTCACCATAAGTGGATCACTTTGCATACTGTTACTACAGGGTGGAAATGGGGTCAAAACAACCAAAATGATTTTTATGATGCTCACAAAAACAACAGTTCAATCCATTTTTAATAAGTTCTTGTTTAAGTTGTTCATGAACTTCCTTAGCATCTAATGAAATCTGAAAGACATACATACACAGTATTAGTACTATTCATAGTATCATAGAGTTTTTGATGACTGGTCTCAATAGCAGTTGTATTAAAGTATACAATTTTTGCCGCTTCAGTGAAGATAGGTCATAGAAAATTTGTTATGAACTTTTAGAGGCACTGGGAATTACCGACTGCACAGTGTATTAAAATATCAAAATGATTCAGTTAAAAGTAAGTTATTAATATTACTAAAACATTGTGAAAATATGTATGTTTCTACAAACACAAAACTAGGTAGTATAGATTTTGACATTCACATGTCTTAGCTCAGGCACATAACCGCAAAAATGTATAACGAAAAAAAGCGTTACAAGATAGGGGTGGGAGATAAGGGTGAGTGACAGGGGGTGAGCGATAGGGATGGGAGACAGGGGTGGGAGATAGGAATAGGAGATAGGGGATGGGAGATAGTGGGTTGAGGATAGAGAAAGATATAGGAGATAAGAGATAAGAGATATGTTGTACGTTCAACGTTCAAATTAGAACTAAATAATAAATTCAAAACAGTTTAAGAAACCAAATTCTCTATGAATTGTTTAACCCTTTTACTACCACTGTCCATTGCAATGAACATGACTTTATTTTCTTTTTTATGATTTACTGTGTAAACAAAAAGTTCCACGGAAAATTTTTTTTTTTTCAAAACAATTAATTCGGTAATGAAAGGGTTAAGGCCAAATATTAAACACTAAAATATTAGCCAGAAACTTGATGTTTTAATTAATATACTACCTTATTACTGCTTCTTAATATACTATTTCATTATTTATAATTTCACCACTACTCTAAATTTATCTCGGTACTTCAACGAGACATGTAAATGCTCTTTCGTAGTAGCAGACACGCCTTAAAAATGTTGATAACGCTTTTTGCACTTAAACAATGTTCATCTTTGTTAAGTTTTATATGGAAGGAGTCACTTACGATGAGGCTAAAGTAACAAACTGCAATTAACACGGCACAACGAACACTCATGTTTGATTTCATCTTGAAAACCTATAACAATATTTATTGTTTTTTTTTACCAAAAATATACTTATCCATAGTGGTATGAAATAATCAACTTTAGTAGTTCTAATAGTAACTACTCAATCAATCGACCAGTTAAATAATATTTCATAAAATTTCCCCTAGCTTAAACTCTAAAATGATGATATGCGGTAAAAGTTAAATTTAACATGAATGCGCTTTAAAAAAATACCAAAAAAGGCATAAAATTGTAAGAAATAATACATTTTAAAAAGCTTTTTATTGTAGTATATTTGTTGGAATGGTTCAAAAACCTTAATTTATTATTTTTTGTCCTACTCTTGAAAAAATATTTCATGAATAAAATGGAAAATTTGTATAGAATTTTTAAATTATTTAACCTATTTTTAGAGAATATTGGAGTCAAATTTATATGAAATGTTCTATTTTTTATATCTTGTTTTATGTTAAATAAAAAATACATGAAAATACTTTATACAAAATTATTCAGTATACAAAGATAAATAAATTACAGTAACTAGTAATATTAGTAATAGTATATAACTAGTAATACTAGTAATATAATAATAGTAAAATTGAATTCGTGTAAACTTAAAGTCAAAAGTGGTACTCGAGCACAAAATTTAATAGTATCATTTTGCATAGATCTACATAAAATAGTTTTTATGATTTGATACATTTTTTTTAGATTTTTTAGAAAACCATACTATCGACGAAAAATAATTAAAATATTACTTACTTTGTATTCGTTTAATAAGCTTTTTGGGTTAAGTTATGTATGAAAAGCTCGAAAAAAAACGAATATAGTTTATCCTCGGCTTGACTTTTTGTGGTTAGTTTTGCGACTACTCCACTTGACAAATTTTCTTAAATTGCGTTAGTTTAAATTACGGTTTAAAAAACAGTTTTTATTATAACATACAAATTGCCGTTGGTTCAGTAAATTAAAAAATCGGTAGATAGTGTTCATATAGTAGTGCTCTTATTGATTTTGCGAGAAAAAAATATGTTGCAAAAAAAGTAAAAAATTGTCACTAGTAACATAATATTTTGTTATTAATCGTTTCGAATAATGATACTCGTAGGTATATGTTGGCAAATAAAAAAATGGTATTTATTTTTAAATTTATAAGAAATTTTGTTTTACCAAGTTTTGGGCCGCAAATTTCCACGCAACGATAAAATAAGATTTCAAACAGTACCGCAGCAAGAATATTTTAATTTGCATTACTAATTGAGACGCTTATTAGGATGCTATTTGGGTACAATAAATGGTATTCATTTTTTTTAATTTTAAAATTATTTAAAATAGAACTCGTATCTCAGTAAACATGGTCTTACGAAAAAACTAATTTCAGATTTAAAATCAGGAGAAAAAATCTTGTTGAATCGATATGTATCGTGATTTTTTGGTAACTGGCCACACTTGAGTCCACCGAGTGGACACTGATTGACTGGCATTTGACCATACCAACATATGACATGTGACACATCATTTTAGGTTAGAATTTTATTCTCAATTAAATGGTGTCCTTAGAATTATATAATATGTTGGTTTAAGTCACATGCCGACCCTTTGGACGTATGTGTGGCCAGATACCAAAAAATCATGTTATATATCAATTAAACAATTTTTTTTCTCCTCATTTCAAATAATTTTTTTGTAAGACCATTTTTTAAAGAGATACAAGCTCTATTTTAAATATTTAAAAAAAAAAATGAATACCATTTATTGTAACCAAAAATCATCCTGAATGTCTCATTTGGAGCTCGGTAGAACTTTGCTTTATACCCTGTATATACATTATCTCTAATATAATGGTAAAGACTACAGCCCTGTGATAGAAAACGTGACGGACAAGTTTTCAGAATAACCCACAGCTATAAGACATATCCATGTCAAAAAAAAGTCTTAATTTTTTAAAAAAAATTTAAATTGTAGTACTTATACTGTATACATATATTAGACAGTGCACTAACGAAATACACGATCAAAATAATTAGCTAATCAAACAAAACTACATTAATCGTATGTGCCATGCACTAATTTAATAACAGTTAAAAATATAACCCAACGCTTAAAATAATCGATCAATAACTATTTTTTCAACTTGGTCCGCAGTGTAGTGTGCGTGGTCTGAAAATACAAAATATTAAACGTTTTTTAAACAAACGAATCAACTTAATAGCAAATAAGATGACAATATTAATGTGTTAATATTTTTATTTCGAATTGTTAAATTAGTGAAGAATAATAAGGTAAATTAAATTATACATTATCAGTAAAGGTAATAAAATGTTTAAAAAAAGCTGAACATTTATCTCACATGTTTTTATTTGTGTTATGTACACCAACAAAAAAAGGCCACCAGTTTTAAACTTTTTTTTCTAGTCCACGACTTATGTTTTTTAGTTAAAAAAAAATTAAATAAATTACAGTTTTAAAAATGATACACTTGATTATTTAAATGTCTCTTTAGTGGTTATGAACATTTTACACAACACATTTATAGAATATTATATTTTAATGTTAATTACCTGATAACGCCAAATTATGTTCTTTAACAGTAGGGAAGTTATTGGTAATATTAAAGTGTGACTTTATATCTTTAATTATATGGTATAATTCTTCATAGCGTACAGCGTCCCCCGAAGGTATTGTGCGTGCACAACATATGTGTACTACCAATTCCTATATTTCAGAACAAAAACAACACATTTAAATTAATATTCAATTTTACATATAAAACTGATAGTTCATTTGCAAAACTACCAGACATATACGTATTGCTGATTATTTCATCTTTATATCATCGGTTTCATATTAGTTTACTGTTTAAGCGGTTTTTTTTCTTTTAGAAAAATCAGTTTTTAGCTTCGATGTGGTGGTGGGAGGGGGGAAGGGTGTAAAAAGTCATACCCTAAATCAATTACTATGAAAATCACAACGTTTTTACCAGTGGGTAGCACAAACACCACACTAGTCTTTTATATGTAATATAGTATCATAGTTTTTTATTTACCATACAATCTTCTACCGTCCAACCGTTTTCCAAACTTTCGGAGCCTACAAAATCTTCGACGACAGTTCTAATTTCTTCAAATGAATATTTATGGAGCATAATATCATAATATGCTGAAATTCCAAAATATTATAATTATTTTTTTTTCAATAACCTTTAAAGAACACAGGAGGCTATATTGTGAATTTGCCTTTCAAATTGTTCATGCCTTATTCATTATTCTATTATTATATTTACTCATTGTACATAAAAATTTTATTGACCGTAAATTTTCAAATGAACGCTAAATTTATAAAAAAAAAACTTTTAAAGAAATTGAAAATAACAATTTGTAACCCTTGTAAATGATTTTTATTTCAAATTATTGTAGTTTAAGAATAATGTTATAATATTAAATTCTACATTTAGACATTAATAAGACTTGAACACCATAAAAAAAAAACTTTTAGTATATAAAAAATTAAACAATCTACAGTTTTACAAATGATACGTTTGAATATTTAAAATAGGTCTCTTTGATCGTTTTTGAATATTTTATTCAACATATTTATTGAATATAAATTCTACTGAATATTACCTTTTGATTCCAACAGCAATTCTTCCTTACGAGGGAATACTACGGATAAGTTTAATTGAGCGATTACTTTTGTTAATACATTTTTTAATCCTTCATAGCCTGTGCCATTTTTGCCAACATTTTTCCTGACTATTTTTCTTATCTCTTCCTATTGTTTTCAAAATAAGAATGTATATTAATATAATTAACCTATAAAACTTAGTCTTTATTAGCGAAATAAAAACGCCAAACTGACTGTCGTATTATGTGGATTTTTATTATTATTAAGAATTGTTTATAAGTGAACAGAAAATGACTCTTCGACGCGAAAATAGGGGCGGTAAAATCTTAGCGTTTTTTATTAATCATAAATGTTTATTGTTCAATATACTTACACGTTGTTCTGGAGTAGGATATGCACACTGACATTGCAACAAGTGCAATGCCAAGCCAAAAAACAGTACAATAGTTTTCGAATACATTTTTATTTTTCAAATAATAGGTAACCTACTAGAGTACTTGTTTTAAGAAAAAATGCTTGAAGAAACAGTTCCAGGTTTTGCAATACAAAAGAGACAACGTATAGTGTATACTAATGACTAACTGTTAAACACGTAGTCGTTTTCTGTAGGTATTCTGTACACGGGATTTATGCAATATATTATATTTTGTTTTTGCGAATAGTCGAATGATAGAGCATTTGAAAACAACATATTATGACATCTGTGAGTACAAATCCTAGAACTGTCTATCTGATTCGACCGTATTGTCGGCTTACGATTCATTACTAGTACAACCTTCGATTTTCCAACTTCTTAGAAAAAGCTTTCACACAAACACACACATAAAAAACAAAATTCGAGCGAAATGATGTTATAAGTTGAAAATTATTTAAAAACAGTGGACTTAAAAAAAATACGGGTTGTTATTTTGTAAAAAAAAAGAAACCCAAATTAACAACACTCAAAGATTTTAAATCATATTACAAAACATTAGATTCCACAAAAATATACCTAAATACAAGTGGAACACCTAAATCTAATAGATATTATAAATTATACTATTTAACCTTTTAATGATGACATAAAATTACAGTCCATCTCATATAAGTGGGGATTCTGTGAATTAGGATAATTTATTAATGCGTGGTCGCGGTGGATGATTTTATCGAACAGTATTGTCAGTGTGTGTGTGTTTAACTTATTAAAGCGATTTTAATGATACAGTTTATGAGTTGTAATAATAATAATAATATAAAATAGCAGGATAGGAACTGATGGATGTAATATCGATAAATGTGTGGGTGTGTTCTAAGCTATCCTAAATTATTTTAATCTTATTATTACTCTAATATTATAGTAATAAGTTATTTTTCATTTGTCTCGTTTTAGCGACGATCTTGGAGTAGTAGTTCTTCGTAGATTAAATTAATTTATTTCTTAGATTCTTCTAGAAAATACACTTTCGTTTACTCTAAATCAGACGTTCCTTTAAGGTCCACTGAATATGTTGATAAATTCTATGTATTTTAAAATTTAGTCAAACTAAGATTATGTGTATATTATATATATATATTTTGCTTTAAACAAACATTCGTTTGTGCACTTATACCTTAGTTAATGGCTATCACTCGTCACACAAACTTTAACTTTATTTCGGGGGACTACACATATCTCATCTACAAGTACACTTATTCACGCTTCCTTCAACACTCGGCTACTGGTCTTAAGGACCGATTAACACCCCGCTTAAGGATGACTGCGCAAATAAGCTTTCCTTGTAGATACTTTACTATAATTACTTAACTATCGCAAATTATCCAACATTATGAAGTGTGCTCAACGTGATTATTGAGTTTCCAAGGTTTCGTTTATAGCTTCCTAAGGATTTACAACTGAATTTCTCGCATTGGACTATTGAATAAAACCGTCTTATCCATGATTGAACATTATACTATTAGTCACGTTAGTGTACACATAAATTTATAAAATCTCTGTTTAAAATTATTATTAGATACCATCGATCAATTAATTTTTGTTTCATAAATACCTCTTAAAACATTGAGTTTAAAGCCTGTTAAATAAGTATACATATACAAATTTAATGCAAATTATTACAGAAATACAAATAACAAATATATTATTACATCATACATGCTTCTGGCATTCCACAAAACTATTACTGGTTGTTGGTTATTTTTAGCAATGAGGTCAGTTATAAAATTAGTGGTTAAGTTTTCTTTCATTGTTGGTAAACTGTCCTGTA